ACCCTTTTATATTGCCTTCATTCGGTCGGCAATCGAAACTTTAATTTCATTTAATCGAGGATTGTAATAATCCATTCATATTTCGATAAAATGCTATTTCTTCTATGGCTAAAACGTTTTACTATCCATCGTCCATATTTAGTTGGATGTTTTTTTTCTCGAATTCATCGTACCATAGTAGGTTTTTTAATAATAACTTTGGTACACCATTTAATTTCATGTTTATTATGTTTTTGTTTTGTTTCATATCTGTGTTAAATAATTACAATAATTGATCGGTCCCACGTAAATATCATATGAATTGAGCAGACAGCGGCAGACACAGGCAAACCAACCTATATGTTTGATTTGTTCATCCGTTCTACAAAATAGCAATTTTGTTTCATCTAAGTTTGGTTGTTTTTTTTTTCGTTTTCGTTCAACGCTTGCCGTGCGTCGTTTGTGTATGTGATGTGTGTGTGTGTGTGTGTGTGTGTGTGTGTGTTTCGCTTACTGCGAATTAAATAGACGCTTTCATCTAATTCTATTTAATTGGTTCAATTAAAATGGAAAATAATCGAGACCAAGATATAAATTTCTTTTCATTCATTGGCAGTTGAAAGTCTTGCTAGCTACCATATTCGCTTGTGAGAAAACAAAATGAACAACCATTTAAATACGGTCCATTACTAAGGAATTACTTGTAAATGTTGATCGGTTACAACATTTGATGTTTTGATCGATATTCGAAGATATTTTTTATGCATTCAAATTATATAAGATCATTTCTAATTGCTTGTTGGCTTGATGGGTTGTTCAATGTTAGTTTTAACATTCGATCAAACACTGCAGCAGCAAGAACACCACACAAATGTGCTGTTTGTAATTTGAATCATTTGGGAAGGGGTTTTCAATCATTTTTATGATGGATATTAATTGGGTATTATTTCGATTATTTTGAACTCAATCGAACACATATTAACAGATGTTTGAAAAACATTTGAATTTCGGATAATTGATCAATTTTTAGTGCCAGAAAGAGAGGAATAATTCTGTGGATGTATTTGTTAACATATTTCAATGGCGATTACTTTCGATCATATTTTTGATTCGATGTCAAAGATGTTGAAAATTCTTGCATCAGCTGCTCGAATGAGAATTGAGGAAGTTGAAAATTGTCAAACAACAACCACTTCTCGATTCTGTTAAGAAAAATCATCGAAATTATGGGTTCAATCGGTCCATCGGCAATTGAGATTGACTTCACATCAAAAAACGAAATTGACAGCATCAGCCTCGGCAATCGCTTGATGTTAGATCGCTCGAATGGAATTTCCTTTCGTTCCGATTCTAAATTGCAAAATGTATCGGTCGCATAGAATGAACAAGAATGGAAGAGCCTTGAAAGAGAGCTAAACCCAACAATTTGTCCATCAATTTGTTGACGTTTTTGGTTTTGGGTTCAAGATCACTTTTATTACCTCTGGCCGTTTTCACAATCGATGCATCCATCTGTAGGTTATGCTCATGGCTCTCAATTAAAATGATCAAACAAGGAAAGAGAAACAGCCACAACCGAATGAAACAGAAAAGGATGACCAAACCGACAATGAAAAGTGAAAAGAAAGAGTAGTGTGTAAAAATTCTCATTAAAAAACGCACACACACACACCTATACACATAGGCAGAGGCACTGCTGAGGAACAGACACACGATGGTTATGCAATTACTTTCGCTTGTGTTCTTCGACTAGCACTTGTCCGGTGCTGCATTCATTTGTTCGTTTCAAGGCAATTTCATATGCACATAGAGTTCCCGCAAAAGGAAACAACACTTGAATTTAATTTGTCTGGCTATCGACAGAAAGTAGGCTATTACAAGTGTTCGACGGCAATGGTGCATTTTAATTTGAGTACTTCAAATATGCGAAAAATATGTGATGATGATACGTTACGTTGATGTTCGTTTGTCATTTACTTTGACATCCAAATGGTTGTCCGTGTGTACGCGATTATAGTTTTTAGAGTTGTTAAAATGGCCTTTTTTGTGCGATGCGCTTCAACTTGATAATTTAGTTGTTACCGTGTAGCATATATGAATATATGGAGAAAAAAAAGAAGAGAAATGTCAATTAACCCTTTTTTCGTTTGCATATAAAATTGCATTCATTATTCATAGACCGAATGTGCGCCGCCATTATGAAATTTGTGTATATACTGTTTATGGGCTTAATCAAAAGTCAATTTCAATTGCACGTTGTTTTTCGTTGGCATAATCAGTTTCAACGTGGGCAATTGTGCCATTGTTGTTGAATCGAAACGCTCATTCGATGGCAAAGCGACTCGATATATTTTTTTTTCTCCATTTATTTATATCAGAGTCTTTATAATTTGGTGTCTCCTGGTAATACATGATGTCGCCGACTATGACGACGCTGGTATACTGGTTCATTGTACCTCAACCGATATTTAATTGCCACGAATAATTATGTTAAATGTGTGTACCTCTCACTCTGCTAAGTAAGTTTAGAGTTTGCGGCTAAAGTGGCGGCAAAATCGATAACAATTATTTATATACAGTATACACAGTACACATACACACACACAGCACTTCCCCGTATAATTATGATATATGTGGTGTAACATACTGGCAATTATCTAAGTGTAATTACCAAGAAAGTTACCAAATGACAAACAAATAAAAACATTTACATTTATACAAAACCCCAGCAAATGTGTGCGCTTCTTTTTTTTTTATCCATTAGCTAGGCGGCATGGAGAATTTCCACAAATCGGCTGCCAGTAAAAAGGAATGGGAATAATGATGTGATTCTTTGAATGAGCGCATAAGCGTAGTATTTTTTCGTGTTATATTCTCCGTTTTTATTTGTTGCTTGTGGGTGCGGATGATGTAGAAATTGAATTTGACGCCTCGATGGTTGTAAACCTGCATTGCTGCCGCAAACGTGATGGCTTCGACATATTTCTCTCCCAGCGGAGAAAAAATGATCGTTGCATAGACCATTCTTTACTGCTGAACACCAAGCACTATTATCATAATGAAAGGAAATTTTTGTTCGCCATAAAGTTGCATCCTATATCCGTCGCACTTGAGCCGAGTCGAGCCAACGAAAGAGAAAATACTTGGTTTAAATGTTTGCCCATAAGTGTCTATGCATCATTACACCAGTCATAAATTTTCTACAAAAAAAAAAAAAATTATCACGAACGCTTTTTATCGAGAGAAAGAGCAAGACTAGCGTTTCAACAGCACACTCAATCTGCAAACATTGGACGAAAAAGATTTCAAAAAAAAAAAATAAATTCAATCCAACGAACAAAAATAAAAACGAATTTTGTTCAGAAAAAATGTGTCATGTAAAGCGTATGCACCATAAATTTCATTGCCTATCATAATAATTTCGTTTTTTCATCTTGTTCGCTGCTCATTCCTCTTGGCCATAGTTGTCGTTCCCTTTTGTTGCACGCTTTCTTGCTTGCTTGCTGACCAAACACAACTCTGTTCCTCTCTCTCTCCCTCCACATTTTAATAAGGCCTCTGCATTTTTAAGACTAAATTATTAATTAATAAATACATTGAGAGAGGATACTGCATTTGCGATCACGTTCATTTTCGATGTTCAACGCGCGCACACAGGAGACTCACATACGTGATTGTAACCAAATACAATTACACTCATTCATTTGAATCAAGTTTGCCACAAGTTCACAATCATCTCTTTTTCCGCGTCGACAAAATACAAAAAAAAATAATCCCCAATTGATATAACAACGAATTGACTGTTCAACACACTCATTGAGCACGCTCATCATCACGTGGTATCGATGAACATGATGTCCAATGCACCAGAAAAAAAGAATAAATAAACATAAGCAACATGCTTAGAAGAATGCTTGTAACGTTTATAAAAGGCGCCTCAACTAAATCACCGGCACAAAGCCACACAGCAGGTATCGAAATTTCAACAACAAATCGGAATTTTTCACCGCTGTTCTTGTTCCCGTTCTTCCTTTTTTGACGCGCGCGCACGCTCTCGCGATCGCACGTCCTTACATCTTTATGATCGTACATTGTAGCCGTGTTTCCTTAAGCCTCCTGCACCAACGATATATATATTTTCTGGATTTTATGGTGAATTAGCTGAAATGAAATAATGCACAATTAATAAATAGCAACATCGTTGAAATACGCACATTGTCAGCTTGATCTATATTAAAAATGGGAGAAATAACGACTTGATGCCGAAATAAATAAGCGGATACTCTTATCAAAAGCCGGCATGTACCCATCCAAACTATCGATTAGATAATAAATTCTCAATAAGACAAGACACAAAAAAACATAGAGAATAGTCAACTCAAGCGAAATGTGCGTGTTTCTTAAACGAAAACAAAAAATGTGTTACGTTTGTCCAATGAGTTTCATGCTCATGATAAAGTCACAAAGCGTGTCAATCAACAAATTTGATCCATATTTTCAATTGCTCTGTTTTTGAACGACCTTCCGAGTTCAAATTGTACAAGATTTTATTTTAAAGCAAATCACGAGATTTGTCTTTGTTCTGTGCCACGATCACAACAGAAATACAGTACATCCAGGTGACAGAATTGTATCAAGTTCGACGCCCGCATCAAACACGCGCTTAAACATGAAATCACGTCAACGAATACTGTAGTCAACGAACTATATAGTGCTATAAACTAATTAAATCACTTGAGATTAGTGAGCATTTATCGACACTTGGACTCAATCATTCATTTATTTGAAACAATTAATCGGAACAAATCAGAAGTATCAGGGTATTACGTTTTCTGTATTTTGGGGTCGCAGTTTTTCTGGTTTAAAAAAAAAACGTGTGCAGATAATGGGCCCTAAATAAATCAATTCTCTCGAAATGAATAAAAAGCACATCGTCTCATTTGATCCGAGTCAATTGGTTTTGGTTCATTCACATGTTGACATCGCGAAAACGATTAAATTCTGTGGAAATTGAAGTGAATAGTGAAAAAAATGTTCAAACTATCAGCCCTCTCATTGGCTCTGTCGTATTTGGCAGTAAATTTATCGAAAGTGGAAGCTGTTACGAGTGCTTTAAAAAGACAAACGTTGATATTTCATGAACCACCGGTTGAAAGTAACTTGGAAAGAGCCGATCAAGTAACAGAGCACTATATTACGCAGCGTCTTGACAATTTCGATCATCAAAATGAACGCACGTTTGAAATGGTATTAATCGAAAATACTGTTCGAATATTTGTAGTTTTTTTTTTTATTCAAGAATCTACACTACATTATATACGTTGAAGTTCATCCAATAATCAAAACACCAATTTCTCTTTTCCAGCGATACTTAAAAAGTGATGTTCATTTCAAAAGTGGAGGACCAGTTTTTATAATGATCGGTGGAGAGTGGCAAATCAGTCCGGGTCATATTTTGCCTGGCCAGCACATTTATGATATGGCCAAAGAGAATAATGGTCTGCTCATTTATACTGAACATCGATTCTATGGCAGAACCAGACCAACGAAGTTAGTTTTGAGTTTATACAATAAACCTGAACATTTTGCATGATTATAATGTTTCTAAGATAAATCATTATCAGCGCTTTTATTAGATATAATTCATTTTAACACATAACCTTTTCTGCCTCATAGCACAACTTCAACAGAAAATCTCAAGTATCTAACCGTTGAACAATCGTTGGCGGATTTGGCTCATTTCGTACGAAAAATCACATCCGATAAAGAATTGAATGCGACTGGTGGCGTGATTGTGGTGGGTGGTTCATACTCAGCGACAATGGCAGCCTGGTTTCGCCAGAAATATCCACATTTGGTGAAAGGTGCATGGGCTTCAAGTGCTCCACTACAGGCAAAATTGAATTACTTTGAGTATACTGAAACTGTTGGAAAGTCGATTCGAAAAATTGGAGGCGATGAGTGCTACAACAACATCGAAGGGATTTTCGAATCGATTGAAGGCCTTATTGATAGCGAAGATTCGGATACGATGGAGAATTTGTTCGAAATTTGCGATGATTTTGATATAAAAAATATTCTGGATGTTTGGAATTTTATTTCATCGGTGAAGAATATTTTTTCGGGTTTTGTTCAGGGATATAGGTAATTTTAATAGTTTTAATTATACCATAAATTTTGGATTATCAAATAAATAGCTTGAACGTTTTAGACCAGGTTTGATCGAATACTACTGCAAAGTGTTTGCCACCGAAAATTCGAATGCAACAAATGATATTGAAAGTCACGAACTTTATCCATTTGCACAATTATTCCAACGAATTTTCCTGCCACCAAGTGAAAAGTGCGTTTCGATGAACTACGAAGGCGATCTCAAAGAACTGAAAAAAGACAATACTTCACTGGCTTTTGCATTTCGGCCATGGTTTTATCAAACTTGCTCGGAATTCGGATGGTATCAAACGACAGATTCGGAAAACCAACCATTCGGCTCAAAATCACCGGTCGAATTTTATCTAAGACTTTGCCAAGATATTTTCGGCGATGTGTAAGTCATTAGAAGATGCCCTTTCAAATAGTTTTCATTGAATTAAGTGCTGTTTTTAGATTCAAAAATTCAACATTCGAGAACAACATCAATCATACCAACGATATGTATGGTGGCTTTGATCCGGCTGTAACAAATGTGTACTTTACACATGGTTCGCTTGACCCATGGCATCGAATGGGGGTTTTAAAAGATTTGAATGAACATTCCCCAAGCACCGTTATTCCAGGTTTGAACTTTGTTTTTTCAGCTATATTTTCATTCACACATTTTCTTCAACTTTGCGTTCATTCGTATCCATAGGTATTTCACATTGTCGAGACATGGGCTCAATAAATTATAGCTTAGACTCGAAACCTTTGATCAGTTCTAAAGTGAACATTCAAAATCTGGTGAAGAAATGGTTGAAGTATTAAAAATGAGACCATTTAGACATTTCCACTTGAAAACGTGCCTGGGCACTATAGTGATTCATGTAATAAATCTCGAAAATAATTTACAAATAACAAAATATATACGTAAATAAAATCATTTTCATTATTTTCTTCACATTATTTTTCACTTGAACTATTTGACTCACTGCATAAAATCATCAACAGTGCGAACTACATAAATGGGATTTAATTGGAATGATTTTTGTAAAAATTGTTCTTCTATTGTTTTTTTATTACTTTTTCGAAATCTCGAAGATAAAAAGTTATTTAGGTAAGACTTGTTTGTCTCTAAAATCACGTATAGAACATTTTCTGAACAGCATGCATGAAACCATTATAAAATTGAGAATAATGGGATTTCGTAAAGCATGAACGATTGATCATATTGTGATTCATGTAATCGGAAGAAAGTTTCGAAAGATTTGAATAAACATTACCCAAGCATCGTTATTGCAGATTCACGGCTTGATTAAAAACCTGGTGAATTTCCGCTAATTCATACTTTGAAGGACTAAAACTTCAAAATGGTTCTGTGTAGATGTATCTCATTGTGCATCATCCTTGGTTCAATCAATCGTACTTTTGATTCAGATGTGCCAATTTGTTCCCAAATAAAAATCAGTGAAAGAAATGGCTAATAAGTCAAAAGTAAGTAATTTCGTGAAAAATTATTAAATATGCTTAATTCCAGCATTGGTTGTGAACCTCAAGAGCATTTTAAAATTAGTAAACTTGCATACAGAAAACAAAACAATGTTTGTCCTTGAATGAAGTTCATTTTTCATTGGAAAATGAATGAAAAAGAGAGGCAATAATTTCTATCTGCATCAGAGACACATGTAATCGCCAATCGTCGAAAATGAGCGAAAATTCCAGTGGCTTGTAGCGAAATAAATAATACAATCTGTTTTCACTTCTTTATTTCTCCTTTACTTCTGATTTTGGCAATGTATATTTTATCTGTGGGTCTGGCTAGCTGGCTGGCTCGTTGACTGTTTTGTTTATTTGACTTGTGTTGCGATTTTTCGGAAGAGAAGAAAAAAATGCTTCTTCACATTTTAGCATTCACAGCGGGTGGCGCTGATAAGACTTCATATGGTTTATATTTTGGGCGAAGCCACCAGCTTGCTGGCTAAGGAAGCCATAGACATCAAATATTCGGTATTTTTTCGGTAGACGATCATTTATTCACATCCAAAAAGATCGATATCTGACCATTAAATGCCGATTCGATAACAAGTTGCTTTGCTGTGCAAGTTATTTAAATGAACGTTTTTTCATGGCAAAAACCAAAACTTCAACGTTTTGAATTGGAATTGCGCTCGAGTTGGATGAATAATAAAATTTGTTAGGAAAAAATATGATATAATTGTCGACAACCGTTGTTGGGTGAAGAGAGAAAAGTAATTATGCCAAGTGGGTACAAAATAGGAAAGAATTTTTTTTCAGCCATTTGCATTCGCTTAAGAAAAACGTTAATTATGTTAATTGGTTGCAGCACCATTTTGAATTTAGAGAAAGAGAGAGCGAGAGTGTGTGCTTGCGGCCAAATATTTGTTATTCGAACAAGCAGCGATTATGTGGTATTGTGGTCGTCACTTAGACGAATGAACGGGTGAAGTGAATGAGCAGCCGCGTTATTTCTCTCCTCATGTTAGTGTTTTCCACGATTGATTTCTGTGTGTCTTTTGGGTGCACATTTTGAGTAATGCTAAAGACAAAACTGTTCATTGCGAACACATTCACCAATGCAAAGCAGTTACCAACCATAATGAAGCATTTTGCATTAATGCCATAGCTACGAGCGACCAAGTTCGTTCCGAATAAAAACAACGACGCTCACAGAGCAGTAACAACCCCAAAACAGTTCGTAATCATATGCTAGAAAAATACCAATTACATACGCACCCAAAGTCGGGAACACAGTCAACAGTCTTCAATAATCTACACATAACGATCAATCGATGTTTACATATATTTTGCTTTGTTTAGGTGCTTTTGTTTTTGTTGATGGCCGTGCATATCGTTCACACTACCGGCCCCCTGGTAAATAGAGAGAAATAGAGAGAGCAAAAGAGAGTGAGTGAGTGTAAGCCCAGATGGAGGATAGCACCGGCCTGTAAGCAGGGAGAAAGAATGAATAAGACAGACAGAGAAAATGTACTAATGGGAAAAAAGGCGAAAGAAAAACGAGCAGCCAGTTAAAGAGAACAGAAAATAGTAACTAATGGCAAAAAAAACAATACAAATGAGAATCGATAGCGTCAGCGCGCGGGCATTTTTCTTCATATTACGTTCTGTATGTGTGTTTTCTTTCTTTCTCTCTCTCCCTCTCTCTCTCTCTCTCTCTCTCTCTCTCTCTTCTGCGTTTGTTCTGTCGATCGGTCGTATAATAATAACAGTCATCTACTGCATAGAGAGAAAGAGGAGTGAAATACGAACAAAAACAAAAATTACAATAATAATTTGGTTTGCGTGCATTTGATTGGATCGAACAATGTGTTATTTGAAAGGCGCTGTGCTGCCGGTGCGCTGGTGCTGGTACTAGCCATTTTCATCGGCGCACACTATTGTTCGTAGGCTTTGAAACGGTTGCTGGCTATTGTTAATGCTTATTATATTGTTATTATGGCATTTATAGTGGTATTTTGTGTGGATCTGATCCGAAATCGTCAGTGTGTTTATATGCCGGACCTCTAAGCACCTCTCTATCTCTCTATTTTCATCTCACTTTTTTACTCTCTCGTTTATCCGTTCATTTTTCCGAACTTTCAAAATTCACTAGACACAATGCTCAAGTTTTCTTCGTTTGAGCGGTTGTCTTCGTCCGTTGCCATTGCTACGGCTTAATATTCTATTCTAAATGTCTGATTTCGTAGATGCTTAGACATCGCGTTGTGTATGCCGATAAACTAATTACAAATAGCCTTCACGGCCAGGATATTTATACAAGCATATTTCTTACACAATTTGATTTGATTGCTACGCTTTTGCAACCCATTTTTTTTTTATGGCGGTGATATAAATTTGGAATCGTTTTGTGCAAACAACATGTTGTTAGTTCATTTTCGATCCAAAATTCAATGGAAGCCGAAATTAATTTTCTCAGCATTTGCTTTGGATGAAATTCATGTTTCTAAAAGACAGAAGAAACCGCCATTTTGTACCATAAAAACAAAAGACAGTGAGATCATGACAGAGAAAACCAAAAATAAAAGGAAAAAAAAAAGATACAGAAAACAAAAGCCAAATGAAAATGATTACACGTTATTATTTTTGAGAATAATTATTTTCGGTTTCCAAGCATTTGAATGCTGAGAGAGCAAGTGAGCGCGCGGTTGCTATTTGAAATGGGCCAGCTCTCATCGTCAGGGAAACAAAGCAAAATATTACTCGATATGCAGACGGTGGAAATAATCCGTTGGCAATACACTTTCGTCGAAAACTGGTGTGGAACACTAGTGCTCGAGCACAATTTGATGTGCGACAAAGACGAGGTTCGCTGACGCGACTAAACGAGACGGCCTCATTCAAAGCGAAGCATTTCATATTTTTATATTACCGTTGAAGTTTCAATGGCTGAATTCAAAAATCGTTTAAATGTAAATTAGGTTTTGGGTGTGCAATTGCTTTGAAGGCTTAACTTCTTTTTTTTTAAACTATAGCAATCTCAATGGCCCGAAACATGTGCTTAAGCCTCTTTGTTACTCGGTCTCGACTGAAGAAAGACGGAACGAGAAAAAAACGAGCAACAAAAAAAATATTCACCAGAAGTTTTATCAAACGTCATAATTTGCAACCAAACCATGTATTTCTGTAAGGTGGAACACATATATTTGAATCTGAAGCGTTTCGTGCGTCTTTCTTTCCATATTTTAATATCAATTGCGTTATGTGTTTTATTTTTCGTTCTCTCACTTAAAGCGTTCAGACACACGAGAGACTGAATTGCAAAATGGCAACTCAACGGCATTAGATCATATCGTGGCTGTGTTTTAATTTTGGCTAGGAAAAAAAAAACTTATATTTACCATCGACGAAAACCTAATTATTATTTTGTGCGTCATTTAAAAAAATAAAAATGCAAAACACAATTTTTGCTTGCAATTCTTTTGCCGTCGAAATTGTACAATTTCAACAACAAAAAAATCTGGTTATTATGCAGCGGATAATTTCATATGATTGGCCTTATTTTAGAGGCTGAAAAAAGGAAGTAGCCACTAATTCTACCCATATTAATGTACTAATTATTTTATTTTAAATTTAAAAATTCATACGAATCGGCCACCTTAAGCTCCTCCAGCCAGGCAAATAATTTGGTGATTTACAAACTGAAATTATGACAATTAATGTGTACGAGGGAGCGAAACACAGTAGCCGAATTCAAATGAGTGTGAAATCCAGTATGAAGAATTAACTTCTCCGTATTCTCTCTGTGTATTCGCTGTCGCTAGCACACCGTGCACACTCACACATATCGTTCGCGTCGAACGTTGGAAGTCATTCCAATGGAAGTGTTCATTCAACGAAGTGGGCAATTTAGCATCGTCAGCATATTTCAGTCGCTTCAAACACACAATGTTATAGAATTTAAAAAAAAAAAACAAATAAATTGAAATAATTGTCGGTTTTGGGGTTTTTTTCTCACTCATGAAATACAGCAGCAGCAGCAGCAGCAACAACAACACAGCTCAAACAAAAGCAACACACAATTTCCAGTGTTTAAGAATATTTAAAATTCATTGTTCTCAGCGTTTGTTTCAATTTTGTTTCATTCGTATTGCCTGGCCGTTTTCATTGTGAATCAAAACTAATCAATTTCATTTGAAATTAATTATTCGAAAATTGATTAAAAATGTAAATTCACTTAATTTATTGAGTGTACTGATTGCTTTGGCTCCCGTGCACAAAATTACGTTGTAACTTTTAACATGAAAACAGTATCAATTATTCACGTTGAAAATGGCTTTTTTTCTCTCTTATTTGTTTGTCGTTGAAAAATGCTAAAGCGC